CAAAGGTTATTTAATACTTTTCAGAAACATTCAAAATCATAAAAGGGGATGTTTCGAGCAAAGAGTAAATCTATAATACAAAAATATAAGGAATGGAATATATGAAGGATAAAGGGTGTTACAAAAAAAAATCATGAAATAATATTACACTCCAGGTGCTTGTTACTTTTTTTTTAACCCGAACAACTCGATTAAGAAAAAAAAGATCCCAGCCCATTAAACAAGAAAGTTCATTTACAAAAAAAAAAAAAAAACTGTACAATTTTGCTCTACAAAAAAACCAATTCTTTTTCCATGAATCAAAAAAAAAATCAATTTTTTTTTGAAAATTAAAGAAATGAATATTTTATTGACAATGGGCCAAATCATCTCGTGAATGGCATTGTGACCGAGCGCTTGTAACGATAAGTCGAATATAATTTGTTGAAAGGACTTAGTGTCTATAATAAATAAAGGGTAAAATGATTAATATAACATGGATCATAGTTTGCACATAAAAAATATTTTTAAAAGCATACCGAAACTCTGCCCGAAAATTCATCATTTTCCTTTAAACGTTCATATCTTGATTTACGTTCTTGAAGTTCCTTAAGAGCACAGTCCATTTGATCATGCAAGTCGACAAGCGATGGGTGATCTTTATGATCTGGCACGGTGGCCCTTAATAAAGTCTACGTATAGAAAAATACAAAGTCAGGATCGAACGTGTAACGAATATAAAAAAAAAAAAAAAATTTAAACAATATATACCATAACTAAGAGAGGATATTTGCATAATCTTTGGAATGGTTTTGTGAGCAAACTTTCCAAAGTTAAGTACCTTCCTGGTAATAAATTTGATTCTAAAGACTTTACTAGTTGACCTAATTTATTGTTCTTTTTACGAGCATTTGCTATTTCAGAAATTGCCGTCTTATAATGAATAAGATATGGCTCGTAAATTTGGAATTGCTTGGACAAGTCACGAAGTATGTGCGTTATCGATGGTACAACGGGATACATTATTGCTTGCGTGCAGCGAAGTTGCTATCATAAAAAAGAAGATAATATTTATTTATATTGTATTAGTATTTGTATTAATAAAATAAGTACATACATAAAAAGATGAACACAAAAAAGATACCAACCAGAGAGGCGTTAAGATGCAGTAACAGAATATCAGGCAATATTGAGAATGTTTGTTCAAGACTAGAAGGTAAACGAATGCCAGAATCTTGGAAATTATTTACGTAATGCTAATAGTAGATCACATGATCATGTTAATTGATTTTCAAATATATCAAAAATGTAAAAATGTAGAAATATAACCGAATATACAGTATATATACGGTATATATATACTGTATATATACAGTATATATACAGTATATATATACTGTATATATACAGTATATATACAGTATATACAGTATACCAATATAACATACATCTATTAAATATTTCATATCTTCGACAAAAGCCTTTTCAGTACGAATAATTTCAAATATTATCTCTTGTCGATGAATTTCGGCTTGTGTCAATTCAGCTTTAATATTTGGGTCAACTTGTTCTTTCCACAACGGAGGAGCAGGCGTTGGAGTTAAAGGAGCAACAATGGGTGTAGAAGAAACATTAGGGACAGAAGAATTCCAACTACGTTTCATTGGTGATTTTAAAAATCCGCTACTGCTTCTTATAATTCTTGGAACTTTACGTTTTTCATAAGATGATGCGCAATATAAAGATCTTTTTTCGTCCAAAAGGCTATCAGTGTCATCGTTACCAGTCACCGCCTTTCCAGAGATTTGAGGAACATATGTTCCCATTGCTCGATTAAAGGCTACCAGTAGTCCGTTAAATAACATCCTAATCGAGTTTAAAAGTCTTGAAAAAAAAAAGAACGAATACTATTTTATTTATTCAGGAATTTGGTTTTTCTCTAATAACCTTTCCTTTTTTTTTTTGTCCTTTTTTTTTCAAGAAAAAAGAAGGGTATTATATAGATAGATATATATATATAAAAATGTAGGACGAAAAAAAAATTTTTTTGAGACGACAGAGGGGGAGTTGAGGATTTATATTTATCCACAAACGCCAAAGTAAGTAGGAAATTTTTATTTATTTATTTTAAAGCGATGTGAACGTGATGGTGCATATAAAAATAAATGCGACCATACATCGATAGGCAGAAAACCTTGCACGCGACTTTTAATAGAAGGGGTAATAACACTGCAATACATAATGGATTTTAGACTGGCGCATCTTTGAAAAACAAATCGTTCAACAAAAAAAATTATAAACATACGTACACAAATCAAAAAGCAAGAAAATATTTGTTGCTACACTGAATTAAGAAGATTCCGCATGTATAGAGTATATATATGCATATATATGCATATATATGTGTACATAAAACAATATAAATTATCGATATATGACATATCAAGTATAGGTGTCACAAACATAAAATATTATGTGATCGAACAATGGAAATAAATAAAGAAAAAATATCCTAAAATGACTATGATAATTTAACTAAAACGTGATTACATCATTTTCTACATCGTTCTAACTGACCGGTTTCACATATATTTCCGATGGTTCCACATCATAGACCATCAGATAGTAAAATAGTATAAACGGTCGTACTATCGCTATCACATAAATTAGCTAAACATTGTGCAGTTTCAAACGGTTATTATTCTTAATTCTGAATCCGATAATAAAAGTTAATGCTAAACTTTTTTTTTTTTAGAATTAAAATTAATAATACAAATTACTAATGCATACGTAATTACATGTATACGTATAATTTGTAAGAATGTTAACGTTAAATAGACCTTGTAAATTCAGTAAATTTATAAATTTAGTAAATATAATTTTTATTTGTTTTAAAATAAAGCTTAACAATATTTGGATCCTCTGTTTTATATAAAATTCAC